AGGGGGGGTAATGACTTTCACAGACATGAGGAGAAGAACAGCAGCTACATGGCATCTCATGTACCTTATATTTTGTCCGCAGGTTGTCCCATTTCTTGGCGATCTGGTCTGCCGTCAGCTTCCCTTCCAGACCGAGGCCTTTCAGGATGGTGCTGAGGAGACAGGAAGCAGGACATGAGCACTCACAGAGGCCGTGGGAACTTTATGAGGGTGCTGCGACCGGTCCTGGCCTCTGGCACCCGGATCTCTCAGGTTAAACTGCTTCTGCTGCTCCTCGGTCACCTGTCGCTTGCTCAGGTGAGTCCAGGAGCAGGTGGGCTCATACCTCCAGGCTATCTTTGCAGAGTTCCTCTTCCCTGTGAACAGGGCCTCGTTGGACGCCCTGAACTCGATCAGCCTTTTCACATCCTCTTCGGTCACTGCAGGCAGGCAGCGGAGGTCAAAGGTCAGCAGCTCAAACACATGGGACAGCACTTTTAAGGGTACAGGTACTTACTCTTATAGGAGTTCTCTGGGAAGTGAGGCAGCGGGTGGGGGGCCGGCTCCATGGTGATCATGAGAGGACACAGCTAGGAGACAAGGAAGGGAGGGAGGGAGGAAGGAAGGAGGGAGGGAGGAGGAGATGCGCTGTGTTCAGGCCCGATGCTAACTACATCCGCTAGCGCATCCTGTTGCTCCTACAACGGGGCTCCTCCGTCCATCACGGGGGCCGGGCCGTGTCTGTGGGCGGGGGCCGCCGTCTCCTCCCGGTGAACCGTTAGCGGCCGGAGGCTGCAAGCTAACTCAGGCGGCTAAAGCTAAACAACAAACAGACCGCGGAGCCGGGCTTCCCGCCGCACAGAGAGACACCGGCTCCTGTTAGCTCGGCTCGGCCCCGACCTCCGCCTCCTCTCGGTATCTTATGTCACCTCCTCCGACGGGCGGAAAAGCGTGAATTAAAGCGTCCCCGTTAACGGAGCTAGCCTGCATCCCGACGCTCTGCTCCGAGAGAAGGGTACGCTCGATATCTTCACCCGGGCCTGGCCGCTATCACCTGACCTCCGGCTCGAGAGGGCGGGGTCAACACAAACACAACCAGCTCGTTTTTTCCCCGTGTATTATTATTATTATTATTATTATTATTATTATTATTATTATT